GATAAAGGTTAGTGTCATTAGATGACACATGGGTTAGTATGGTACGATGCACAAACCTAAATACGTCATATCATGTGAACTCATAATTATTATAAATGAGTTTTTAACCTTTGAATGTATACATCTTATTTTTTTATATTTTAATAAAATTATATTTTTTTCATTTATGTTACAAGTTTAGATTTAAAATTTTGCCTTTCTATGTAGAACTTTCTTTTTTAAAAAACCTTTCATTTCTAGCAACCTTTTATTTTTGGAAGTTTCCTAATTAGGTAAGTTTAGGTTCAATTAGTTAACTTCCATAATTTGTTAGTCATTAGGTTTTAATTTACTTGGAATTAATTGTATCCTTAATTTATGATAATTTAATAATTTCCCTAATTTTTGTTAGAACCAAATATAATCTAAGTGCTAGATTTTGGTAATTAGCTTTAGGCTAACCTAATTCAATCTCTGTGAAGACAATACTTGATACTTCCTATTTATATTACGTATAAGATTCGTGCACTTGCGGTTGTTGGCATAAGAAAGAAAGAAAAAAATTCAAGTGTAAATGGTTTGAAAAGTAAGAGTAAATATTCTTAATTTACTATTCATATTTTAATACGTAATAATATTTTAAAATTATAATTGTTATTTAATGTAAGTATTAAAATTAAATTAAATAAATATATACAAAAATTTTATTTAAATTAAAATTTATAAAAATATTTACTAAGAATAGTTTAACTGGTCACTTTTAACACTTTTAAAATTAAAATTTTAAAATTTTAAATAGTTTAATTTCACATAAACTATTTAGTTTTAGTTGATTAAATTAAATTTAAATAAATTAATAAAAATTATATATTTAAGGATAAATTTATTAATTTAAAATTTTATTATAAATTTTAAGTCAATCACTATTAATATTTTTAAAATTCATATTTTTATATATAAATGATAAATAATAGATGATAAATGATATATAATAATAATAATAATAATAATAATAATAATAATAATACTAATTGAGTTTAGAGATTAAGAATTTGAAATTTAGGCATGGTTTGATCGTATTATAAATAGATAATTAGACTATTATCTCACCATGATCCATGAATAGTTTTTATAATAATTGATGGGGTTTTTAAAAATAATTTATTGGATGTTTCTTGTAAATATGTAAAATATCTAATGCTATAGTGACTTCTCATCCACCAAAAATTCGATTAGTTACAAAAATTAATCAATATAATAATAAATTATACTTAGATAAGGTCAATTGAAGCCTTCATCATCATTTGGAATTTACTTGTCACGAAACTTATAAATACAGACATGGACGTTGAAATTTCGTCTTTTCTGTGCAGTTGCTGTAAGATATAATAATAGAGTTTGGTTTTAGCTTCTCACACGTACAAATTGTAAGAAGAAATCATTATCATTCACAACAAGTCATTTTCAATAATTTGCCACTTGACTTAAACATATTAAAAAACGAAAAAATATATCAGGTAAGACTTAAATAACTATATTAAACTTATCAAGATTTTAATTTAATGGTAAAAAGGAAGATTTTAGAATCTTAAGCTCAAATTTTATTATATATAAATTTGGTTGTTTAATTATATTTTGATTTGTTAATCAATTTTTTAATGATTGTATGCAATAATTAATTTTCAATTAATTCTATGAATGTAATATTTATGATTATAACTTAAAAAAACTATTCTGTCAGATTTTGTAATCTATTTATGATCTAAGTATATTTATTTTCAATCCTAAAGTCCGAAACCCGTATTACTTTCCCAAAATAATTTCAAAGGGCAGACTTCACTATTTCATATTGCAAATAATAAATCTTACTAAATTGAAGAATTAACTATAGCTATATGCTATTTTCAAAAAAAAAAAAAAAAAAGCTATAGCTATATGCCTGTCTGGGTATGGCTAGTTAGCTATATGAACAATCCTTTATATTTTCGATCTTTTTTTTTTTTTTTTGGAAGAGAAAATGGAGTAACATATAAATTAACATATGTTAGCAAAAGATATATATTTTTGACATAAAGAAAGTTACAATTCGAAGGCAATGAAAAAAATTATAAATATTAAATTTTAAATTTTAAATTTACTGAATATATATATATATATATTTCTAAGAGTGATTACGTATGCTTAACTAAACTTTGGATTATATATATTTACTGTGAAAAAGCCAATGTTTGGCCATATATGGGATAAGTAGTTCTGTCAGTGAGGAATGATATAATTTTTATTTGTGGTAAAATGAGATTACCCAATATACTGAATATGTTTTAGGTAAAATATTCAAGGGCTGCGTGGATCAAAAAGAGTAATATCATAAATAATTCTTAAATTATAATGAAATATTTTATTTTATATTTGAAATTTAAAAGTTTATAATATAGTACATAAATTAATAATTTATTAATTAATTTAATATTAATTTTTAATGTAACTTATTTCAAATGATGACATTTGAAAGATAGACAATTTTTTAAGTACTATGTTAATTAATAAATTAATAATTAAATTATCATATTAAAAAATTTTAAAATTTAAATATTATATTTAAACATCTTATTATAGTTTAAAAACTATTAATAACATTAATCTTTTAAAAAATTAAAAAAAAATGAATGAAAGAAACAAGTCAATAGTCTTCCACCTCTTGTTTAGTGGCTAAGTTGATCTGAGGAAGGCATGTGGATGTAGTTTCTAACGTCAGCATCCCCTTATCCCCTCCTAAGGACTATGCCATCCTTTGAACTAAATTAAAAAAAAAAAAAAAAAACAAGTCAAGAAAAAACGGAGAGGTATAACTTTGATTTGGTTTTACATTGAGGGCAAAAAAAAACCACCTTTGAGAGTAATCTTCCAAATCCTCGGATGGGTTTCTTTAGTAATTACCAGCTTATCTCACTGCCTCTGCTACACTTCAAGCTGTTATTTTCATTAATCAAATGAGAATTTTGGGCTCTAATTTTCTCTACATATATATTGTGAGACGACCTGATTATTGACGTTTTTCTTGGATGAAGGATATGAAGGATAAACTCATCCAGATTTATGTGATCAAATTAGGTGTTAAGGTTGCCCTACAATCCTTGGCCTAATGGTAACAAGAAAGATAAGAAAGTTTGAGTTCGAATCAAGCCAACCCCTCCCCAATCCCTCCAATCCTGTGGACCAAAAAAAGAATTGTGTTAAGGTTCCAATCAAGGGCCTGCGGTTGCGTTTAGAACACGGCCAAGCTAGCTAACAATAATTTAAGCCGTCTCTCACGTCAATAATTTTTAGCCACAGCCCACCGATCTAATAGTACACGGAAAATGAGCTATCAAACTTTAGTTTTCAATGTTAGACTTTTCTATCTCATATATAGGTGTCAAATGGATTTGAAAAGTAGAAACTATATGATTTGATATATTATGAGTCATGTTTGATAATTTGATATTAAATAATTAAATTAGACCAAAAATAATACATATGAGTTCCATGTTAGGTTAAAAACTTTTAAGTTCATGAGATGGTATGGCACAATTCGATAAATGTCAGTGCCATTATATGACACATGGGTTAGTATGATACGATACATAAACCTAAATATATTGTACCATGTTAACCCATAACTATTATAAATGAATTTTTAACCTTTGAGTGTATACATGTTATTTTTTATATTTTAATAAAATTATATTATTTTTTGATAATTTATGAAATAAAATTATATTAAATAAATTTACTTATTAAATATTTAATTATTGATAGAAATTATATTTTAACTATTTTGCAAATCATTTTATGCACAAATTATTTTTATTTACTTAAATTTGTGTCTATAAAAATAAATTAATATTCTTTTTAAAGTTATATAAAAAATATCTTAGTTATAAAACTTAAAGAGAGACTGGTTACATGAAAAGACATAAGGAAAAACATGATGTTGCATTTATCGCTTTTAATGATCTCACATAAATTATAATTAGTCATTATTCTAATGGGTTTTTAAGTCCATTTTATTTTCATAAGATAATTGACGTAATTAATTAGTTAAATTTATAGTGCAGTTTGAGTAACCATTTTATTTTTACATATGATGAATGTTTTAATAATTTAATTAGAAATACTATTAGAACATATGCTTTTAAAAAAAAAACTTTAATGAAAATTTAATATCTAATTTCTCAAAAATGTTGTCTAGAATTTCATTTACTTCTGATATATAAATTAGTCAGCAAAACTTTAGTTATATGTGTATTATTGGATATTAGATAAATGATATGTGTGTATATGTTTTTTTTATAAATTAAAATTGTAATTTTAATATATTTATTTAGAGGATTTTATTATCCATTTTTGTGAATATAAATATTTTACTGAATCACGTAAATTATTTGTCATTTTTATTTGATTTTATGTTTAATTATCTTTGATATATTATTTTTAATAATAATAAATGAATTTTTTTAAAAAATAGTTAAAATTTTAAAAAATATATTAATAAGCTGTGTTTGAAGCACGAACCAATTCATGAAAATTACGAACCATGAATTTTACTAGATTATACGTTTAACTTTCATAAGCCGTATTACCGAAGTACGATACATTAGAACATAATCCTAAAGAAACATGACCTATTAACATATAAATTAATATTTAAATAGACGGCACCAACCCAACATAGCTAATATGACGCACGCAATTCCTAAAAGATTTTTGAGTAATAATTTATTAGGGGTCCCAAGACTATAACATACGTTCCTTTCCGTAAAATGACGTCTCAGATAAGAAGGATCAAAGAAACTCACCACATCGCTTCTTTTCAGTTGGTTTATATTCCAGTATCACTCACCCTGCCGGCTTCTCAAACTTACCAATCTAGGACTAAAAGATGCATTTATAATTGTTCAGTTCGACCCGAATCACCATGGCAGGCTTAGACCAATAAATAACAAAAGGTAAAAGATACCAACCAAAGGCAAAGAAAGGAAATTCTTATATATATAATATTATTGGAGCCGCCTCCTTGGAACGTGTCTCTGTCTATTCTTAAATCAATCTATTGGGTCTGGTCGCCATGAAAGATTTATTTTGGCAGGTCTAATTGCATCTGAAATTCTGAATATCTGATAGCACCAAGCTTTCAACCCCTTATTCTACTACTATCATGACAGTGAAAAGAGCAGTATCTCTTCAAATTTTTGGTTACCGGCTTGTTGGCCGGGGAAAATCGTCTGTTATCTATATAATCCTATTTGCTCTTCTAATAATTTTCATGTTTGCAGACAATATCATTTCTAACATATCGCTTCACTCGGCTGCCTTCACTAAAAAAGAAGATTCTGAAGTTTTACAGACTCCAAAAGCTATAAGAAAACTCAAGACGGATGCTACTCCTGTACCGTTCAATATTTCTACACAAAAGAAGATCATTAAAGTTGATAGTGAAAATCAGAATTTGCTAGTTTCTTCCTCGGGTGTTAGAGAAGAACAGAGAATTGGGCGTTTCAGTAGAAAACTAGCAGAATATGAGATTTTCAAGTCAGACGACTTGACAAAGAAGTTTCATGGTCGAGTTTTGGAATTCTTCAACCAGAAATGTGAAGTTCACTTCTTCATGACATGGATTTCAACAGCAGTGTCTTTTGGAAGAAGAGAAATCTTAGGTGTGGAAAGTGTTTTTAAAGCCCATCCTCATGGTTGCTTGATGATTCTATCAAGAACCATGGACTCTGCACAAGGTTACAGGATCCTGCAACCGCTACTTGATCGTGGCTTCAAAGTTCTAGCAGTCACACCAGACTTTCCATTTCTGCTCAAGAATACACCAGCTGAAGCTTGGTTTGATGATATGAAGGGTGGGAAAAAGGACCCTGGTGAGATTCCACTGGCTCAGAATCTGTCCAATTTAATGAGACTTTCAGTTTTGTACAAGTATGGAGGAGTTTACTTGGACACGGATTTCATAGTCCTGAAAAGCTTTAGAGGGCTGAAGAATACAATCGGAGCACAAAGCATTAATACGGTGTCTAAGAAGTGGACAAGATTGAACAATGCAGTTCTGATCTTTGACATGAACCATCCACTTCTATTCAAGTTCATAGAGGAATTTGCTTTAACCTTCGATGGAAACAAGTGGGGACATAATGGGCCATATTTGGTTTCCAGGGTAGTCCACAGAGTGGAAGGAAGACCTGGTTATAATTTTACAGTCTTGCCACCTATGGCCTTCTATCCTGTTGATTGGACTAAAGTAGGTAGCCTTTTTAAGATGCCCAAAGACCGGGCTGATTCGAGATGGGTTGAAGCTAAGCTGCAACAGCTAAATGGGCAAAGTTATGGAGTTCACCTCTGGAATAAGCAAAGTAGCAAATTAGTGGTTGAAGAGGGAAGTATAATGGGAAGATTAATATCAGAGAACTGCGTCTTGTGTAAACACATATATGGTTCTTAAATGCAAAATTTCCAGCCTGAAGATGGTGAAGCTTCTTCGATCAAAACAGATTCTCCTTTGGCAAAACTTCAGGGTAAGAAATTGCAAGAGCCTCCTGTTGAGTGTCAAATTTTTTTTGTACAGTTTGATCCTTGACAAGCCTCAATTCAAGGGCTGTGATTTTTCTTTCTTTGCAAGGCTTCCATCGATTGTCTGATTCTATTTTTCCTTCATGTTGTCATTCTTCTTCCAATTGTGAATTAAATGTGAAATAGATACAGATCAAATAAAATAAAAAAAGAAAAAAAATTGGTTTTGAACTTTTCCTTGATGCAAATGTAAGTTAATCTGTAAATGATTGTTTACTTTTGAAAGCTTTTCAAACTGTGTGCAAAAGAAATGGAGTAAAATCAGAACAATCTACAACAAATCATAATCCAAAGCCTTCTCAATCTCAACCTGAATTTAAATTTTCTACATCTCCAAAAGCCAAATCCTGGCAGCCTCCTAAGTGACTTTTTCTTGGTCAATTTACGGTTACTATTTTTGATTTTCCTATTCTTGAAGCTAAAGTCTTTACCCATGAAACTACAATCTGAAGCAAAATCGCTTCGGCTACAAGTCTCGAATTTATTAAACGATCCAGTCTGCTTGATGTATGCCCATGGATTCTGTACTTCACCATTTGTATCACTTTCCTACAAGGGCATAGACTTTATAATGGGTGAGCCGCTATAATCCTATGTAGATACTTGATTTTGCTTACTAGTATTCTATTCCTTAAAGTTTCTCTATAGTTGTTAAAATTAATGATAAGTAATAACATGTAATAAGACTATTTCAGTGAAAATTATTTTACTAAACATGTGATAAGATTATTTTAGTAAAAGTTATTTTACAAAATAACTATTCATAGAAGACGCTTAATTAGCGACTCTACTGGGGATGAGTGATTGCATTAAGCAAAATAGTTTCTAATCTTGTTTTGTCAAAAAAATAAAGGATTCTACTGGAAACTAAAATACTCAGACTTTTACCTACATGCAAGAATTGATGAGGATGATTCAAAATTCTCAAGAGATGATGCAAAAGTTAGAAGAGACTATTTCCCAACTCACATCTTCCAATACCACAACTTCTCAAGCCCAAATTGCTACTGATGGAAATGGAAATAGTTCTAATGGTGCTATCCCTCTTGTGAATGGAAATGGAGAAAACATTGCAAATGTGCCAAATCTTGGTGTTAATGAAAATCTTGGCGTGAACAACACCTTAATTGCTGATATTTCCACTATAACTTTTCCTCCAACCATAACTCAGGGTTTTGTCACAAAAAAAGAACTTTAGAAGTTGCTTGAGGAGAAGAATAAGAGTTTGAATTTTCTGAATTTGATTTTAAGTTACCTTATCCTGCTAATATGGCTACTAAACCATATCCTAATGACTATACTAGTCTTAAGTTTAAGCAGTTCAATGGCAAAACTAAGATGCTCGTGAGCATGTAATGAAATTTGTGAAAAGTCTTGGAATAGCTGGATTGGATGATAATTTAAAACTGAAGGAATTCTCTAAGTCTCTTATGAAAAAGGCATACACCTAGTACGTCAATCTTACACCTGGCTTTGTTGAATCATGGAGTTAGATATATAGTATGTTTAGAGATAACTTTTTCTCTATCCAAGAAAAGGTTATTTTGATTGACTTGGGAAAATAACATCAGAAGTCACGAGAAGATCTTATAAAATAAATGCTTCAAGGAAAGAGTGTTGGACATTCAAGATTCTCATGATGAGAAAGAGTTGGTGAAAATATGTATCCAAAGAATGTTTGATGAATATAGTGTGCATTTGGAGAATCTACCTCTTCCAACTTTTACTACTTTGGTTGAAGCTACAAGAATAACCAATAATATAGTTCTTAGGTAACAAAAAGTGAATCATTTCACTAGAAAGAATACTCCTACAGTGAATGCAATTCAAGAAGGAGCAAGAAAAATGAGGGGACCTCATTGGCCTAATATATGCTTAGAAAAGACAATCAAAGAAGAAGACAAGATAATTATATTGACTTTTCACCATTCTCAGTTCCAATGGATAGATGAAAGCACTTCTTCAAGAATGAATTAAGGATGGAAATGCTATGTTTCATGACCTCCAACAACAAAAGAAAAGTCTAATCCAAGGTATTGTGACTATCACTGAATGGTTGGTCATTCACTTTTTGAATGCAAAAATCTTCTTAAAATATTCCATCAAAGGGTGTAAGCAAGAGAACTGCTAATTAAAAACATTGGAGTTCAAAATAATTCACTTCCAACTCATCGAAATCCCTGAGGGCATGTGAATGCGATCATTCATGCTAACTATGATGATTCTTCTCCTTCAACTACTCAGTCTGAAGACATGCAAGCAGCAAATATGGTTACTTCTTCCATTGCCGATTCATTTATGAAAACTCTAAGTTTCAAGCATTTCTTTGATCAACTTAAGTTTACAAAAAAATGAAGAAAAGATGTAGCATTTGATCAAAATGAAGTAAATTTTCATTGTAACTACAAAGGCACCATTTGATCAAAATGAAGTAAATTATATAAAGGCATTTTTCTTTGAAAATCATTACAAGAAAATGGGGAATTGGTGACACCTTTTTATCGGCATTTTCTAACAAATGCCGCTATTTAATATTTTATTATAAAGTTAGTGACGTTTATTATATAAATGCCACTAAAAATATATATAGCGGCTTTTGGAGTTTGAAACACCACTAAAGTTAAAATTTAGCGGCGTTTATGTAATAAATTGCCAAAAAAATAATTATCCAATTTTATTATTTTGAAAAATAATTATATAAATTTTATCTTAAAACTTTTCTTTTTGTTTAGTGACATTTTAATTAAAAACACCATGAACATAATGGCATTTTGTTTGAAAACACCGCGAGTTTACATAGTTAGTGGCGTTTTGCTAAACAAAAGCCCGTAAAAGTCATACTTTAATGGCATTTATTATGGTAAATGCCACCAATTTTTCTCAATTTAAATTCGATGCATGCCTATTTTCCCATTCCCTTCTTCCCTAAATTCTTCCACTCTTTGATATGCTATCTCCTTTCTTCTCTCACTTTCATTCCTTTTCATTTTTCTCACTCTTTGTCTCTTTTTTCTTATAAAATCACTCAAATGAGTGGTCTCTATTCTCTTTCTAAGCTGTTATAAGGTATAACAAAGACTATTTTTTTTTCATGTTGTTAACAAATATTAGGTTGATAATTTGTTAAGAAATTTATTCATTCTATTAAATTTTTTTTTTTGGAAAATGGAATTCAAAACTGTCATTTGTCCTAAAAGAGACAACATAAACTAGGTCATCTTACCCAGTCAAGATGCTTTAGTATTTAGGATCTCTAGGTTCAATGATTCTTGTTGGTTTAGTGTTTAGCATCTGAAAGGGGAATCGAACATGTCATATTGGATTAGACGGTAGATGTCAACAATGGCGATGGCATTACATAGTTCAACATAAGTTACTAAAATAAAGAGTAGAGCAATCACTGAGTACATCAATTCTAGCATTTGAAGTGGGAGTTAGATTTGTTTAAGACCACCAGCAGATAAATAGTGTAGAATGATTGGATCTATGGTTTGGAGAAAATGGAATGATAAATTTTGGGGTTTTACTTATTTATTTTTGGGGTTGGATTTTAGTGGGTTAAATATTTTGTTTAATGGAGTTACATGTTAAATCTTATTATTTCATGTTTTCAAGTAATTATTATTTTGCTTTATTTTACATCTAATGGATCATATTTGCAATTATCTTAAGTTTTGCATTACTTGTTGGAGAACTACTAAATCATTCTACCATTTTGCTTAGCTTGGTCTTAATTTGATCATATCCCTAGCTATGACTATGCCATTGGTCTATGACTATTTGGAGGTCTTTACTATATTTCACTACAAAACCTAAACTAGTCACTTTAATAGCATTTATTGTGTATTCTATTCTCTTTTTAATTCTTTAATTAATTGAATGCCCATGGACTTTATAATTTATTTTGATGGCAAAGTAATTGTGGTTGTGTTCAAGAGTTCTTTGTCATTTTATTAAACTGATGATATATTAGATTGTTATCAAGCTTCTAGTATAGAATAAGAATTGAGGGTTTCAGTTTTAATTAGGCAATGAAATCAAGATCTACTTAGATGTTCATAAACCACTATGGTTATGCTTATCGATTCATGAGTCGTAATTTTGATGTAAATCAAGGGTTTCTTAAAGGTTTTTTCTATAAATCAACTAAAGCTATGTAAAAATCAATGAAGATAAATGTGTCTGATGTCAAAATTGAAAACAAATAGAATTCCTAAGGATGATTTTGTTTGATATTGTGAGAGCAATTCATGTTGATGAAGCTCTTTGCATTGATGATTCTATTAGTGTTATCAACTGCCTCTTATACAATCTCTGGAAAAAGACAAACTTTATGATCCAATGGGCTTGAACTGATAACTCTAACCTTGGTAGTGGCTTCGCTCAAAGATATGTTATTTGGCTATTAACTTTCTTACAAGTTGTTGAAATTTTATTCTGATTTTGCATGATTAGGTTGCCTTAGCTCAATCTAGCTCAAGTGTTTCCCAAGGTCTTCAAAAAAGAGCTGTAAGTGCTCTTTAGGGATTGTCAGTATAAAAAATTAACAGGTGTTCAAGGAAATTTTTTTTTGTAATTGCTCAATGTTTAACTTATGGAATAATATTTGTAGAACAAGTCCTTAGGTGAAATAAGTTCTTTGCTTTGGTACAGTATAAATTTTATCAATATATTTTCATGTAACCAAATGCAAGTGATGATGGCCTTGTTCATGTGATTTTGTTTATAGCATGAAGCATTTAGTACATATGTGTAAACCTTAAACTCTACACTTAATTCATCTTCACTATTCCATGTCTTAACAGAATGTTTGATCTACAATTGTTTAGGTTTCAATTGCGTAGTAATATGTCAAATTGAGAGACTCAATCTCTTTTTTTTTTTAGTTTTTTTTTTGTTATAAATGGTCTTTTGACAAATATTATTAATTTTTTCTTAAAAGATGTATCTCTTAGCAATGTATGATATATATTGATGTATTTTCTATTAATATAGCATTATTATTAGAAGACAAGATGGTATAGTTCCACGTATTGCATTAACATGTTTAGACATCAAAGTAATTTTTTCACTTTTGGTCACACAAATGAGTCATTATTCTCAAAATTAGTTTAAGATGTTGTTCGTTACTTCACTGTGATTGTAATCCTTTTTGTCAATATCCACTATATACTATCAGCATTAATGCATTTGTATTAGTCCTAATTTCTAAGAATTTAAAGTTGATGTAAATGGTCAGATTATATCGTTACGGGTAGAT